AGTCTCCCGAGAGACTCTCTCGAGCTACACTACTTCCGTTAAGCTTACGGGTGCTTAACAAACCGTTACAACCTGAGAACTCGAGTCCCACGAGCCTCAACAACCTTGCTCGGAGATACCGCACTCCAAGACTTCAACCCGAAGGAAAATACCTTTCCTTCGTACAACCAAGGGAAACAAGCTTCCCTTAACCTGTATACAACACTAAGACACTCAAGAACAAGACTCTCCTTAAGAGTAGATATTGAGTAAACTGTATACGCTCAAGAACAACTCAAACTTCATAAATTGGCTCTAGAAAGCTATGAAAAATAATGTTGTTTGAATGCAATGATTATATGAATATTGTGAAGTGAATTGGTGAGAAAAGCAGACCCAAACACCCCTTTTTATAGTGCAAAATTAGGCTCCAACGGACCAATGCATTAAAGGAGTGATTAGCTTGATTTAAGGGATTGAAAAGATTTGGAATCTGTAGAATATTGGCTTCCCATCGATGTATAGACTCAACCATCGCTCGTAAGCCAATTTTCCTTCAGTTTTGAAGCCAACGGTCACCTACCCATCGATGGGTAGATGCTTCCCATCGCTGGGTGGGAGGTTGACTTTCAAATAAGGAAAGAATCAGCCTTAAATAACTCACAACGGTCATGCCTTCCCATCGCTGGGTTCCCATCGATGGGTAAAGCTTCCCATCGCTGGGTAAGGGCATTCTGCCTTGTGGTAATGTTGCACCAAGGCTTTAACATCGATGGGTAGAACTTCCCATCGCTGTTTGGCATGGTTCTGGAAGTTGGTTTGGCTAAGGGACTGCTTACCCATCGATGGGAAGATCTTCCCATCGCTAGGTGGCATGATTCTGGAATCCCGGGATCACTTACCCATGCATGGGTGAAATCTACCATCGCTGGGTAGATGGCTAGCCCAGAACCATGGCCTAGCCGACCGGCGCTGAAACCCGACCGAAAAATGCAAAGTTCTCCAAAGTAAAAACTAAGTATTTAAAACACTTATTTAATTTATTGTGATGTCAAAACAAGCTTTGTAAGTTGAAAACCACGTCGTTAAGGTAAACACCACAGTTGACCAAGTCAACACCGTACACGGGTGGTTTTCACCAAAAGACAAAACCGAAATGTGGTTTTCATGATGTTTTGATTGGAGAACCATTTAAATGCATTAAAAAACAATTCCCACAAAAAAAGACTCGAAAACCACTTCATTTAAGTGAAAACCACGGCTAGCCAAGTTTATGCCATTTCGCGTGGTTTTTATCAAACGACAAAAAACGAAAGGTGGTTTTTGAAGTGTTTTTGATGGAAAACTATTTAAATGTGCCCAGAAGTAAAAAAAAATCATAAAAAGTTGAAAACCACTTGGTTAGTTCGGACGCCAAAAACCAACGACGAAAACCGAAGGTCGAACGCCGGTTTCTGAAACCCGAACACCGGATGGCTTAATTTTTGGTTTGGGCGAACACCAAGTGTTTTTAATGTTTTAAACATGTTTGAAAAACATTTTTATGATGTGTGAAATGCAATGAAAAGAATTTTAGCCTAAAGAGCCAAGGTGTAAAGGTTGGGTCGGTCTTGATCACAATTATGACCGACTCAACAACACTAAGACTACGGTCTTCGTTTTTGGTCTTCTTTTGGGTCTTGTTATCTTGCTTTCTTCTTATATTTATTTCTCGCCTTGTATTTTCAAAAACTTGTCTCGTTCACGGCGGTTTGGCATTATCAAAACCTGTCATATAAACGAACACGGCTTTAGTACGAAAACACGATAAACCCGTGTTTCAACATCAATGATATGCAACATACTTATTGTGCTCCCACTAGTCTTCAATAAGACTTTTACCCTAGACTTATAAGTGCTATAACTGGTTATAGATTTTTCGAAACGCTCCTTTTATCCTTGATAGACTCGTCCATAACAAGTGTTTAAAGTGTCTTCATTCATATGAGACTTACTTTGATTACCTGTTATTTAAGGAAGGAATTGTTTTGGAACATTTTCCAAGTGCTCTTTCCTTTCAGAGTCTATAATGATCATTTTAGTGGTTAAGGTTTAGTAGTATTTGGCAAGGTTACATAATCCTCTTTATCAAACTAACTATTTTAGTCACTTTATCTAGATAACGTTTGAGGGAGCGTTAATTTCATGATCGTATCACTTTTGCCTTTCCAATTATGTAACTTTGGCATTAATATCACTTGATCTTTATTAAGTGTGCTTTATTAACGCTAATGGCAAGTTTAAATTTCGAAAATTTAAATAGAAAGGGTACTTGGCTATAAAGATATCCATATATCTAAGTGGTTATCACTTCATTCATAATTTTGTGATAAACTTATTAACTAATTAATATTTGTACTTTGTAGCCTTGTGAGGCAAAATATTTGATCATATGAAATACTTCTATAAATGGAGCAACAATTTGTCCTTTAATTTATTGAAATAACCAATAATACTTAAAACAATAAGTGAACATCAATTCGAAATTGAAAATTGATCAAATACTAAAACTTAAACTAATGCGCCACAAAGCTGCAACCCTTGCATCTTCAAGATCAACATTCCTACTTCTCTTCAGTTCGTGCAACGGTTTGCAATACTATAAGTATCGAATACTTTTGAAGAGATTGTAGATTAGTTTAAGTCTTTACAACAATTGTACCTGAAGCAGAAGCTTCACCCTTTTTCTTGGTTGCCAAATACTGCTTGCAATTCCTCTTCTAGTGGCCAACTTCACCACAGTGATGACAAATGGAATCTTTGGCCACTCCACCTTTACGCTTGAGCTTAGAAGAATTTGACTTTGGTTCGGTGTTACCCTTGCCTTTAGGTCCATTCTTCTTTGCTTTCTTGAACTTCTTCTTGCCTTTTCCTCCTTGAACTAGAAGGACAGAGTTCCCCTTTCCTTTCGTCAAGCTCTCTTCGGCAGTTTGCAGCATCTTCAAAAGTTCTGGTAGTTGTTTATCGAGTTCATGCATCTCGTAATTAACCACAAACTGTTTGTACAACTCTGGCAACGATTGCAGAATCATATCAGTTGCAAGTTCAGTCCTTAGTTCGAAACCCAATTTCTCAAGAGTTTGGACGTAGCCAATCATCTTGAGAACATGCGGACCAACAGGGTTTCCAACTGACAATTTGCAACTAAAGAGAGCTTTGGAGATTTGGAATCTCTCATGCCTAGCTTGTCCTTGGTAGAGCTGTCTTAGGTGTATGATCATATCGTACGCCTTCATACTCTCGTGATGTTTCTAAAGGTCAGAAGTCATCGTAGCCAACATGAGACATGCCACCTGATTGTCATCATCAACATGCTTCTCATAAGTATCTTTGATAGCTCTAGAAGCATTGGCGGCCGGGACAGGTGGGATGGCTCGTTCGAGCACGTATTCTTTCTTCTCGAGTCGAACAACGATAACGAGGTTTCTCTGCCAGTCTAAGAAGTTAGACCCGGTTAACTTATCTTTGTCGAGGATTGAGCGAAGAGTGAGGTTATGGTTGTTATTAGACATCTACATATAATTTGCAAGATAGTTAATATCAAGAATCTAAGTAATTAGCTATGTCTTTAACTAATAACTCTCCCACTATTTTAACAAATCAACTACCCTCAAGTACGTAACCTGTTGATTCAAGACTTCTCCTAAGAGATATCTTAGTGGGCCAAGGTCCATATTACATTTAACTATAGTTGTGCTTTGCATCTTGCCCTACATTAGGTAGGAACTTATTTCCAATTGTAATCCAATTACAATCCTTGGTTTGTTAGGTTGTTCTAAATAAAATCCTATATTGGGCCTAGATCCTTATTTCATCTAACTATAGTTGTGCTTTGCATTTTGCCCTATAGTTAAACTATTTCAGGTAGGAACTTTTTCCAATTGTAACATTTTACAACTCTAGGTTAGATGAATTTGATTTTATTTATGAACCTAACCATATGCCTCTAAGTTATTCATCTTTTTACCTTAACTTAGTTAAGTTCAACCCGGTGCATACTCAGTATCCATTGTTACGGATTTCGCGTCATACCAATGTAAACCAGGCGTCCCGCTTTGGCGTGTCCGTTGACTGGTCGAAACTGGTATCGACGAGTGAGTCGGCATCGGAAGGCACAAACTTAATATTACGAGGGATTTTAAACGTGTTTTCGCCTATGGCATGTGCTGCGCACATACACTAGAGAATATCATACAAACATATATACAAACATGTATAATGAATAAAACGTGACATGGTTGTGGCCTTCTAAAGAACTAACGATAAAGCACTACTACAAAAATAGCTTCTAATAGCGCACTTTTAACACCGGATATTTGTAAATCGGTGTGAAAAGCTTAAAAATTGAGTGTTGTACTGTACACTTCTTGAGGCGCAACACTCTTAGATATTTTCACCAGTTTTGTAGCGAATATTTGACTAACCGCTGTGTAAAGCTGCCCCTAAATTTATTTCCCGTCTCCAAGTCTCGCCCTAGCTTCTTTCTCTACCCATCACTGTCCGCTAGCCTCTTCTCCAGCCGCTGCCAACGAACGCTGACATCAGGTTTGCGCCTCCCCTCCCTTTTGGTAGTCATGCCTTCTTGTTCGTCCGCTTCAATTCAACCTTCGATTGAGGTATATGTTTCATTTCTATGCGCAAGAGTCTTTCTTCAGTTCTTTCCATTTCGAATCTAAATCTAGAAATACAAAATTTTGTGCTATGGTTTTTTAGATTCGATCAGAACCCCATGATTTCAATTTCAAGCACTGCATATACTAATTGGGTTCATTCCAAAATTGACGAGTCATGATATTCCACGATTGGGTATTTTATTTTGTTTCTCTATGCCTTCCATTTTTTGAATTCCACTTTTAAAGATACCTAAATTACTTTTAAATTTTAAATAAATGAAAGAATGAGCCACTTTTACTTTGGATGTTCTTTTTTTACTTCATAGGTTAATATGGTCATTTGGACTAAACATTCAATTAGTCTTAAGATGAAACTGAAATGTTTGAGCTGATTTGGGACTTCTGAAGATAGTATAATCGATTAATAGGCCAAAGATTTGATTTCTCAACCTTTACTGGTTTGTTTTCTTTTCTTGATAAGTTTCCTATATTCAATTTTGGAATTTTAGGATGGGACTAAAACTACCTTCATTAACCAACTGCGAAAGTTCTTTCTCAGGTTTCACAATTTCAATCCTCTATCCTAGATATGGTATTGCAGTTGAAGGCATGTGTGAAGGTACATGAGGATAAAGGTGGTGGACCTGCTGTGGATGTGATGCGTTTTCTACTAACGTACGGGCTTGATCCAATATTTTGTCAAGTAGAGAACACACCCTTCCTAAACAAAAGAGTGAAGGAATCGGTAAGAAAGTTACTGAAAGAAACTGTGGAATTCAGTAGAAGGGCAGTTGGTGGTGGTAATGAGACCCAGAGTGATGTTTAAGGGGTAAAGGAGCAAAATAGGAGTAAAACATTGATGAAAATCTAAAATAGGAGTTGAAACATAAAAGCCCCAAAATAGGAGTTGTTCACTCTCCTTTCACAACTGCCTCGTGGTTTCATGTGATTATTAAAGTTAAGTTTTTTTTCAACTCTCAAAACAAAGTTAGAGGCAGGGTCATTTATTTTTAGGTAGTTACTGGTGGAGGGGAGCTAGCTAGTCAATATGCATAGGCTTTGGTGCCGTGACTCTTATTTTTCTATTTGGATTTATTTTTGTGAGGGGGGATTATAAATGTGAACGAAAAGAGAGAAGGGTGGTCTGGCAAATGGCAATGATGCTTGCCATACACACATATACACACCACACACAAAAGGGGGGGGGGGGACAACTTTAGGTAAAAACACAATTCGGTTTCTCCCCCATGGAAGGAAAGGATGATGGCCCATTAGATCAATGTGGGATTTTATTTTTAAAAAAAAGAACAATTTTATTCTAATTAGTCTCCTCAAGTTGATCTTAAGAGTTACATGTGAAAATTTAGAGAAAAATATCTTTAGATATGAGTAAAATGTTATTGACATACACGAAGTACCATACAAAAATATGCTAACGCCGAGCAATATTACATGTCAACGCCGCCGACTCTTTCCCCCTGCCGCCAACGCCGCCACGCTTTGCTGCACTCCTTGCCCCACGGCCCTTTCCGTCATGTCGTCCTGCTATGCTACTCTTATATCACCTCCAACAACATACACACACCCCTACCTTTGCTCTCTCGTGTCCCACTGTGGTGCAATTAGCTATTGTTGATGATTTTGCATGTCATTGCCAACACCACTAAGTCTCCTTTTTTGCTACCGACACCACCAGAACATGTAACCATCACTAGTGTCATACTACCATTGACTTGCTATACATGTCAACTGTAGCAACAAATAATGTCAAAAATGACAATGTACACTGCCAAACTTAGCGCTACATAAGGACATATATGACACTGTATAATGTTACAAGGAAAATGAGAACAAGTTTGATTATTAAGCCAAGCATTCAAAACTGTATAATGTTAGCAACTGAGATGTAACGAAGATGGTGATTGGTGGTGGTTGTTGAGATTGAAGAAGGGGGAAACAATTTGGATTGCTAAAAAATAGGGGCTTTGTAGTTTGTACCCTCAGTGAGATTGAAAAACAAAAATTAATTAATTACTACTATTTAGTAAAGTTTAATATGAACTCCTATTTTGAGCCTATGACATATGTTTTGCTTCTACTTAGAGTAATTCCTTATTAATGTTGATATCATTGTACCACATTAACCACCAAATACAATGTCAAATAATACCAAGCATTGCCCCACATAGTGTCACATATGAAAATGCATAATGTCACAAATGCCCGCATACATTGTTTTAGATGCAAATTGACAGTGTCACACAGGTAAATGGACCATGAATCAGATAATTTTAATCTAATTTTTTTCAATTGTATATGCATTCTAAATCAATAATCAAAAATTTAACAACAAGTTTTTTAGGGGGACAAAACTATACTTTGATTTGCTAGAATCAAATTATAGCTAAAATGAATGAGATTGGGAGTGTTGGTGAAGAGGGGGTTGGTACAACACCTATAAGCATCAGAGATGGATTCACACCCTATATCAGCAAGAAAACTAGTTCTGAACTTTCAGAGGCTATATAAGGTAATTAGCAATTTAGCCAATAAACCCTAACTCAAATTTCACCAAAATTCATCAATAACCAAGAATCAAAGCCCAAATTAAAGGTGATTGTATGAAAAATTGATAGGAAACGGAGACAAAGAAATCACAACATTAAAGTAAAGTGGAGATTCTCACTAGAATGAGCGGAAGTGCGTAGGGAGGCGAAGGGTTTGGATGAAGACGGTGGCGATGGGCGTAAGCTTGCGCCGGCAAGTGATATGGTGCTTGCAAAGCCTACCGGAGTACGGCTGAATCGGGGCGGCAGTAAAAGACCACCGTCTCCAACCCATAGAAGCTGCACCGCCGACCAAGTTCTCGCTCCCTCATTTGATCGAACAACATTAGCATCTACATCACCCATTAATTATTTAATTAGTCCTCTTTTGAGGAGTTTAAGTTTGAGCTCCTATTATAAAGATATGACACATGTTTTACTCCTATTTAGGGGGTTTACTTATGTTAAAGCTAGGTGGTCTTCAACACAAGAAATTGCAGAAAATCATAGAGACAGCCCGACGAATGTTCAATTGAAGCCAGGCAAATGGTTATGCACGAAGTAACTTCTAGTGCATTCTTCTTTACATTTTTTAATTGTGAAAAGGTCTACTTCTACATACTAATATTTTTGTGTGTGTGTTCGTCTTCTACGTCAACCTCTCTAGTTGCAATTTCTTGAATTTTGCAAGAAATATCAAGTGTTTAAGCTGTAACGGACTGTCCCAAGAACGACTCCGCAATCTAGAGGTTCTGCAACGTGTGGCTATAAACTTCTTGCAGGTGTAATTTCTTGAACTTTGCAAAGAATTCAAGGTGCTTGCAGTGCAAGGAGAACCCACCAAAGCGATTGCTTCATCCTGGAGAATGGGAGTGCAAATTGTACACTTTTTTTTTTGAAGAAATCCTGTCAAACTTTGAGCAAATCATTTTTTATCTTTATAAATTCTCTCTATTATTCGTGATTCGAGGATGATGTGTTATGTTAGGTGCAATTACATAAACTTCAAGAGAAATATGGTCTGCTTGAAATGCGACCATAGAAGACACAGAGCATCGCATTCTGTAAGTTATCACCATAGCCGCGCTCCCTATCTTGGCACAGAAAAATTGTTCAGAGATGGAGCTGGTATGTCGTCATTCTCATCGGAACGGGAGATGAGACGTACAGATTTCCCTATTTTAGGAGGCAAAATTGCTATTTCTCAGAATGTGCGAAAAACCAGAGAAATGCACAATTGCAGCAGGGGAGGCAGAAATGTTAAGTACCCCAACAGGCATTTGGAACCATGACGAAATGGCTGATTGGTTCGGCCGACAACGAAATGCTCAAAATGCCAAAATATTTGCCCCTATGTTTAGGGATTAAAAGCTTCCAGTCTTACATTTCTTGTTGACAATCTCAGAATCAGCAGCCACAAGCTGTGGCAGATGTATTTGTAGAGTTTATTAATGTTGAATATTCCATTAATGTTGAATATTTGTAGAGTTTATTCCTAGCAATTCATCTTTTGATGTACTCATTGATACATAAATCGGATGCTTGAGACAAAACTATATATTGAAATTTATATTTTAAAATAATATTCCAGTATTTTTTTTTGAAAAAAAAATAACTTTACACAGCGGATAAATATCCGCTGTTATAAAGCATATCATTTTTAAGGTCTCATTACACAGCAGATAAATATCCGCTGTGTAAGCATGCACGATTTTTCACTACCATTACACAGCGGATGAATATCCGCTGTGTAAACATAAAACCTTTCCCACCGGCCACATACATAGCGGTTGGATTCCGCTGGGAAAGGTCAAATTTATCCGCTGTGTATTCTATGTTTTGTAGTAGTGAAGCCTTCACTTGAGATCTCCATCTCCAGCTTCATCTTCTTTCTTTAAGAATGCTTTTAGTCTTCAAGTTCAGCCCTTCTTGCTAAGGTCCTCTTCTTCTTGGCTCCTATATCTTCCTTGCTTCTTCATGGACTTCTTTGTTTAATCGAGAGAAGATTGGTGCATGTGAAGTAGATTGGTGCATGTGAAGTAGTACTCATCGTTTTCTTTGAGCCTTTCCCATGGTGGCACGTTTTGCCTTACAGTAACACCTACATCGGTGTGGATGCTTGTCCTTCTCGTAACACAGTTTCCCCAATTGTTCTTGAGTGCCTTTAGTTGTCGATTTTTTTTCCAAAGCTCGTCTATATGCATATGCAAAACAAATAAAAGTGTCATTCCCTAATATGTCAATGTATGCAATGACAATAATGTTGCACAAGCATAACCTAGAAGTGTGAAATCAAATAGGCATCACATAGACACTAATTGTAGGTGCATAGAAGACATTCAAATACACCGAGACAAATTGTGCGAGTGACAAACATGTCCAACAAAAATTAAATGTAGAAAATAACTGTAAATATAAGTTCCTAAAATGGGACAAAAGGTTTTTAATACACATGAAAAATGACTAATGGTAACTTCAAACTAGCATTATGCGTTGGTGCAAACCTCTTCCCTCATATACTCACAAGCATAATCTGCTGGTGCAAAACGAGTTTAAAACATCAAAAATTGGTAGCAAAGTCTACACCTGCGACTCTGAATCAATTAATGGAAGACACATTTCTATTAAAGGAAAATTAAAATTGAAATTAAAACTGAAATTCCAATCAAACACGATAATTTGAGCATTAAAGTGGAGCGGAATCACATGAGCACTAAATGTAGGTGCACAAAATATAAACATATATAACCAGACATTCAGTGTCAATGAAAAATATGTCCACACTTCTATAAATGCGAAAATATACTTCCTGTATTATACACACTTGACTTTTGAAATACAAAATTATTGTCTAAATTTTGAAATACATAACTTGCCATTTGAGGTGACAATCTTGCATCTCTTCTTTAAAAAAATCTTTCAATCTTAACTTGAAATTAAAAACTAAATTGAAATTCCAATTAAACATGGTCATTGAAACGTAATTTAAACTTCATATTTACCGAGAACTCTTGAGAAAAGGAGACGTCAACGAGAGAAGCCGCCAGACTTTCCGATTGGTCCAGTGTTCTCTTCTGCCTCAAGTATTGAAATTCCTCTCTCCATGGCCCAATTATAGATCTTCATCGGCCGGGTTATATATGTGTCGTCGGACCGTCTAGCCGCAACAGTTGTGGTTGGAGATTAAAGTGGAGAGGAAAAGCTAGAAGTGGAAAAGAGAGGGAGAGAGTGAGAGTAACGTGTGAGGGGATTGGGTGGGTAATGGGGGAGTGAGAATAGGGTGAGGGTGAGTGGGTAATGGGGGGTATTTTATTTGGGGTACAAAATGGGGTATGAAATGGGGTGTAAGTAGCATTTTCCT